GATGTTTAATCCTGATTAAATTTTTCAGATAGTTATTTCTTTGCTTTACAAACTATCCGTGTTAGAGAAACGCATCATTACAGAATATAAGTCAAACTTAAAGAATAAACATGCAAAAAGAGTGGATCACTTGTAATTAGTAGAAAGACAGTGGTTATACAGATTGAATGTAAGGACAATCAGAAAACTCAGAAGACACTTTGTAAGTTGCCTTTCAAAAAACGAAAACAACACTCTATGAATTTTATTCGTCTAAGCGCTTTCCTGGATTTACCTTCATCAGGAACATTCCAAGACGAATATTTGAAAGCCAAGGATATATAAGAACTGAAACAGTTGAAGATCTATATGACCAAAATGGACCTACGATAATAGTCAAATCTGTATAAGGTAAAATTTGCCAGAGCGGGTTGAAGTCGTAGTTTCTAAATAATTCATGAATTTATAAACGCTAATTTAAAAAAAGTTTTTTTTATAATTCATGTCAGTACCGACATACTGACTACTGAGCTGATGATACACTCGGGACTGGTAGTCCAATAGCAGCGGTATCAACCCAGTGCTGTAAAAAATGAAAAACAACACTTAATAAATTTCATGCTTCCAAAGCACTTTTCTGGATTTACCTTCATCAGGAAAGCTCAAACCAAATATTTGAAAGCCAGGGATGTATAAGAACTGAAACAATTGAAGAGCTATATAACAAACAAAAAAAGACCTAAAAATAATAGTCAAATCCATCTAAGGTCAACTTTGGGTGCAGGAATCGCATGCACTAAAAGGAGCGAGATTGGGTGCGTCGACAGAGTAAGCGTCTCCTGCTATGCAAGCAACACCCACCATGCAAATTTACACTCTGTCAATTTACACTCTGTCAAAATGTTACAATCTGGAATTGAACACAATCGGTAGAATTACAGATCAGACGACCATACTTGTATGTAAAGATCTAAGACATCGAAAACATGTCACTAGGGAGTTGAGTCACCGACGCATTGTATCGGTCAACCAATTCGTGACGGTGGTCGTAAAACTTATGTAGTGTTGATTTGAGTCGATCTTCCTCATCACTCTGTTAAAGCAGTTTTTGTGAGAGGATCACACCCCTGTTAATGAAGTCTGTAAATGTGTGAAAATGCACGAGCGTAACGTGTTAACTGAGATATGTCAACGCCATACGAAGGAGCAGAGGGTATGTTACTGCTGAGAAATAGGAAACTGACCATAGAAACGTTGAAATCATCACATTTGTCATAGAACGCCCATCTGTGTTATATCGGAATAAAATGTATGATATGAAGCAGACTTTCACAATTAAACGTTAATTAAAAGGAAAACTCTAAATATCAAAAGTAAACGATTTTCCTATAGCGGAAGGGAGATTGAATATAAGCTTTATACTGTAGTAGCTATTTGAAGATGATAATATCTGTGAGTGCCAACATTAATTTGTGAAAATAAGGAGAATAAAAAATAATTTAAAGCCCTCCAGAATAAAGTGAAGTTTTTCTCGAGTGTAAATCATTAAACTACATTTCATCCAGTCTGTTTAAACAATTTTTATGTGTGCAGATATATCAAACAGAATTTGTGAATTTTCAGAAATGGTTGAAATTGGTTTAACAATGTCCATTCTGATGGTTGACCGTCCATGCAGAAATCATTATTCAACATAAACATTTTAACTACTGTTATTCCAATTTATCAGTGTTTTTCATCTTTGATATGTTAAATTTTAAAATCAACTTCCGTTTGTTTTTCTTCAATACACGTTTAACTCTTGTCGATGTTAACTACTTCTACCTAAGATTATCTCAGAATAGTAATGAAGGATTGGTAGATATGCAGTAATTATAGATTATAACATGTCCTTTTCCATACGGGCCACTGGTATCATCCAGAGACTCCCATATTAGCCCTCATATGGGTCGAGGGCTGATACCAGGGCACATATGGAAAATGACATGTTATAATCTATTTATCACATATGTATTATACAAATGCTGAAAAAAGTAGAAAAAATTGTATTACTCCGTCTGGCAAGATCATACATTTTTGTCATTCACTTAAATAATTCCGCTGTCATTTTAATCGACGTTCCTCGTCCGTCATTGTTGTTATGAACGCTTATGACGTCATTGCAGGGCACAATAACTAGTTATTTGCCCCGGGCAGTAATATGACTAGGACAATTCTGTGGTTATTACATATGCACAACCCTACGTTTTCGTTACAAATACAAAAAATGTATGTGATAGTTTACCATCTGCCTCATCGTATAGTGTATCTATATCCCAATTAATACGTTACGCTCGTGAATGTTCACACTATACGGATTTTATTAATAGAATGTCAAATAACAAAAATACCGAACTCTAATGAAAATTCATAACAGACCCTTATCAAATGGCAATATCGAAAGCTCAAACACATCAAACAAATGGAAAAACAACTGTCATATTCCTGACTTGGTACAGACATTTTCTTATGTAGATAATGGTGGATTAAGTCTAATTATATAGCTAGCTAAACATTTCACTTGTATTTCAGTCTTATATAATTCCATTATATTGACAACAATGTGTGAGCAAAACTAACAGACATAATAGGTAAAAGAGGTGTGCTACTGACACAAAACTGTTCCAACAGTGTTATGTGAAAAACGACTGAAATCAACACTACACTACATAAGTTTTACCATCACCATTATGAATTGGTTGACCGATACAATGTGTTTGACTAGTGGCATGTTTTTGCGATCTAAGAATAACAGAATGGTTGTTTGATCTCTAAATTTCCCGATTGTGTCCTATTCCCGATTGTGTCATATTCCTGTTGTGTCCTATTCCTGTTGTGTCCTATTCCCATTGTGTCCTATTCCCAATTGTGTCCTATTCCCATTGTGTCATATTCCCATTGTGTCCTATTCCTGTTGTGTCCTATTCCCATTGTGTCCTATTCCCAATTGTGTCCTATTCCCAATTGTGTCCTTTTCCGATTGTGTCCTATTCCTGATTGTGTCCTATTCCCGAGTGTGTCCTATTCCTGTTGTGTCCTATTCCTGTTGTGTCCTATTCCCATTGTGTCCTATTCCCAATTGTGTCCTATTCCCATTGTGTCCTATTCCAAAGTGTGTCCTTTTCCGATTGTGTCCTATTCCTGATTGTGTCCTATTCCCGATTGTGTCCTATTTCCTTTTGTGTCCTATTCCTGTTGTGTCCTATTCCCATTGTGTCCTATTCCCAATTGTGTCCTATTCCCATTGTGTCCTATTCCCAATTGTGTCCTATTCCCATTGTGTCCTATTCCCAATTGTGTCCTATTCTCATTGTGTCCTATTCCCAATTGTGTCCTATTTCCGATTGTGTCCTATTCCCGTTGTGTCCTATTCCCGATTGCGTCCTTTTCCGATTGTTTCCTATTCCCGTTGTGTCCTATTCCCGATTGTGTCATATTCCTGATTGTGTCCTATTCCCGATTGTGTCCTATTCCTGTTGTGTCCTATTCCTGTTGTGTCCTGTGTCCTATTCCTGATTGTGTCCTATTCCTGTTGTGTCCTATTCCTGTTGTGTCCTATTCCTGTTGTGTCCTATTCCTGATTGTGTCCTATTCCCGATTGTGTCCTATTCCTGTTGTGTCCTAATCCTGATTGTGTCCTAATCCCGATTGTGTCCTAATTCCGATTGTGTCATATTCCCGTTGTGTTATATTCCCGATTAGTCATATTCTCGTTGTGTTATATTCCCGATTGTGTCATATTCTCGTTGTGTTATATTCCCGATTTAGTCATATTCTCGTTGTGTTATATTCCCGATTGTGTCATATTCTCGTTGTGTTATATTCCCGATTGTGTCATATTCTCGTTGTGTTATATTCCCGATTGTGTCATATTCTCGTTGTGTTATATTCCCGATTGTGTCATATTCCCGTTGTGTTATATTCCCGATTTAGTCATATTCTCGTTGTGTTATATTCCCGATTTAGCCATATTCTCGTTGTGTTATATTCCCGATTGTGTCATATTCTCGTTGTGTTATATTCCCGATTTAGTCATATTCTCGTTGTGTTATATTCCCGATTGTGTCATATTCCCGTTGTGTTATATTCCCGATTTAGTCATATTCTCGTTGTGTTATATTCCCAATTTAGCCATATTCTCGTTGTGTTATATTCCCGATTGTGTCATATTCCTGTTGTGTTATATTCCCGATTTAGTCATATTCTCGTTGTGTTATATTCCCGATTGTGTCATATTCTCGTTATGTTATATTCCCGCTTGTGTCATATTCTCGTTGTGTCCTACATCCGATTGTGTCCTATTCCCGATTGTGTCCTATTCTTGTTGTGTCCTATTCCCGATTGTGCAACCAGTCTCGCTCCTCTTTTATTACTCTCAGTTGTTTGCATTTTATCTTGATTTATATATCTTTTTAATGGACTTATTGGATTTTACATTGGAAAACTACTATTAAATCTAATATACGAATAAAACCCAATCAGATTCAGTATGACAGTAATTTCAAGTGGGAGATTTAGCTAGCTTTAAAACCAGGTTTAACCCAGCACTTTCTTCGGGAAATGCCTGTCCCAAGTCATGAATATGGCAGTTGTTTTTCATTCGATTGATTTGATTTTCTCAGTTTTTATGGACTTCCCCCTTTTAAATTTGCCTTGGAGTTCGGTATTTTTGTTATACTCTTCCCCCACAATATTTCACAATAACAACTTCTCTAGGATCTGTATAATACTGTGGTATGTGTCGATTAACGTCAGTATTGGGCGTCAATTATAGGATACAAATGGTTTACCTTTATCTAATTTGAAACTATAATGTCAGATCGGACTCAAATTTAAAGAACAGAATTCCGACTGAGTCTTACATATTTACATCAACTAAAGATGTTTTTTTTTTTAAATTCTGTTCTCCTCTGTTAAGTCGGTATTTCCGATTGATTTTTCACTAGATAGGGATGACAAGTTTCAAAAAAATAAATAGAAGATTAAATTTAAATAATTTATAATCAGTCAACATAATCAATAATAACCATACAACATTACATAACTAATTACGTTATAATACTCATTTTAACACATTTTGATAGATATCTACACAGATAACAATGGATAATGATATTGATATTGTATGCAAATGTAATTTTGTAAATATGTCCCTGTTTTCGCAACGGTATGTTGCCCCTGAGTGTAATATAAAAAAAAACAACTAAGATTTGATATCACTATTATTGTTTGTACTTATTTTGATAATGCTGCGTTCCACGGTTAGAGATTCATTCTGACTGTTTATATACTAATAGATTCAAAATCAAAGATTTCCGAAATCCCTCGCATTTTCATCTTCATCGTCCGTTTTCCAACCTTGTAATAGGCTTTCTTCATCTTCTGACATTTCATACCTGTTAAAGACAAATTTGTCATTACATTCTTTGCTAGAATGAGCAAATGACATTATATAATCTTACTACTACGGATGCTTGATGTGGAGCACGATCTGCTTACCCTTCCGGAGCAGCTGATATCACCCCCGGTCTTTTGTGGGGTTCGTGTTGCTCGGTCTTTAGTTTTCTATGTTGTGTTTTGTAAAACCGTTTGACATGTATTTACAGTTATTTAAATAAACACCTTGGGGAAGTTTGATATTTTACTGGATCGTAGGGGATAAAAATAATTCGGAAAACTTTCATGGATAGTAAAGAATGATTATTTAAAAAAGAGTCGAAAGATACCAAAGAGACATTCAAAATAATAAGTCAAAAATGAACTGACAACGCCATGGCAAAAAAAAAACCAAAAGACAAACATCAGTATACAGATTATGCATACAGTAATGATAAACACTAACTAGTTCGCACACAGTTCAACATGTCATGTTTTACTATAGTAGTAAAACTTGTATCTGATCCATTTGTCATTTTGAACAATAAAATATGTTTAAACTAAAACAGTTCAACAATTTGTAAATACACGCTAGAAACAACCACATACACATTTCCAAACCAAAATATTTATAAAAAAAGTTGCACAATGTATTGAGTATGCACATTGGCAATATGTGGAAGAGAGATAAAGTAAAGTGTCAATAAGTTATTGAAGAGGAGTTACGGTAACATAATCCTAACCCTCTTGCATAATTGATGGCATTATTAACTACAAAAGGAATTGAGTTGATGAATAAAAGAACAAACGTGATATCTCTATACATTCCACTTCACTAAGGCTAACAAAATGGAAACATGCGGTTCAAACAAGTCAAGTCTGATAAAAAATAAAAACAACACGTTATAAATTTTATGCGTCCCAAGCGCTTTTCTAGATATACCTTCATCAGGAACCATCAAAGCCGAGTATTTGAAAGCCAAGGATGTATAAGAACCAAAACAAATAACGTATCATTACTAGATTGTTGTGATATATTAAGCAAATCTAAAAACAAACTTAATTTGTTCAGAAAACAACTTTTTCTAGAGTCTAGTGGTCTGTTGAATTTGGGTGATTCGTGAAGGAACACGGCAACAAAAAGGACGTAACTCCGTTTTCAAATTGCATCAGACGTTATGAATACATATTACACTAATAACATAGTCATTTTACTTACTGCATACTAATAAATAGACGCAATGTCTTTTTTACCTTACTTACCATGGCTTTTCATTTGTTTTGTACTCTTCTCCGTCCTGAAAAAGATAAATGTACATTTCTAAACCACGTTGGTGATAGTATTATATAATAAATATGGAGTTGATGTTACATCTTTAATAGTTTCTGTTTAATCCATTTACATCTTTTTTACTTGGGTGATTTAGAGTTGTCATAGTGTGTGGACACCATATAGTTGAAGACTGTGTGTTGACCTCCGGATGTCTTTTAGCAATTTTTGTTGGGTTACCATCTCATTGACGTATACTTAGCAAGGCCATTTATTTATAGTTTTGCTTTAGCGCATTAATAATGCAAATCTAAATACTCCAAGTGTTGCGCTAATCGTAGATAACGTAGCTTACAGTTTCCGAAAGCGAAAAAGAAATAAACCTACTAAAGATTGTAGCGTTATACCGCAACTTTAGCATGTATCTATCTCTCAAAGTTCCATGTTAGGTGACAAATCTCTTAGTGATAAGATGTAACAGGTTGAAAATCTAAAATTGTCTCCCACATACAAACTCGATGCATATACCTCTTTCTCCAAAGCCCTTTACATGAACTACTTCCTTATGGCACCTATTTTATCAGTACATTGTAGAATATAATAATCGGACAAATGTTTCTTTACTAATAACATTAACGGGGGTACCAATTTTACTGCACCAGATTCGCATTTAGACAACTAATGTCTTTTCATTGAAGATAAAACCATAAAAACCAAAAGGACCTCATCAGAATAGAACAATGATATGAATAATGAATTTGATAACCCCAATTAAAATGAATCCATAATGAAACATTGGTAACCATGCGAATGTTACACTGGGACTGTGAGTCAATCGGCAGCGTTACTGATCCTCCGGCAGTTGAAAGATGTATGAAACTATGTTGGGCTCACTACACATTCGTTTTTAATAGTTTTCATCAGGTATATCACCCAAAAAATCAAGTACAAAAAGACAATTTAGACTTATGAACATATTCCTAATGATAACTTACTGTAAGTGAAACTTCGTCCCACTTCAAATCATTTTTTGCCCCATCACGTGAACGATCATAACTTTCCAAGAACTCCGATTGACTTATCTCACGTGAGGGACCAACGTCCTCTGCACTAAATAGTTTCACTTTGCTTTTATTTTTGATCTTGCTAAAAATGCTTGTCCCTCGTTTGGATTCCTTGTTATATTTCGGTTGTTCCTTATTCAAAGACGGTCTTGGAGCTGGCTTCGGTACTTTAGATGGATTAGAACGACCAAGCTGTCTACCTGAAGCTGTTATTACAGTTTCAATGACGTCTGTTCTATGTGCGTTTATCTTCTCTACTGATTTTAAATGTTGGTTCAGACGGTGTTGACGCAACATTTCATCAGGCAAGTCCTCATTATCAACATTTAGACGCACTCGACTGTGACCGTCATCAATATCGTCTTCTTCTTCATTATAGTAACCGTTGTTTTCTTGCCACCATTCAGAACCGGAATCACATGATTCTCTTCGGAGTGTTTCGGTTCTTGAAGTCCAGTCAGAAAACTGATCTGTGACAGTTTGATCTGAGGTTAGAGTTGATGAGTAAACAGATTCTGTTGCACTAGGGCTTTCCAATAATGGAACCTCCGGCGACGACATTGCATGACTAACAATATTATTTCTATCGTCATTATAACGTTGACTATGATTTCTATTTTCTTTTCTCCCATCTTTTGGACTTTTATCATCGGGCTGTGCTGTTTTTACCACTTCACTTTTATGTTGTGATGGAGATCGACCTTTGAGACTTTTGGTTTTTGTATTACCTCTTTTCAGTTTGGACGGTGATTTTTGTGTGTTCTCTTCTTTATTACTATTGTCATGGTTGTTTTGAGGTAGCTCATGATGCGTAGTGTCTATGGTAAACGACGGTAATTTTAAAGACTTTTTAGTAATAGTAAACGTTCTGTTACTTGTAGAACTACTAGAATTAGATGTACTTTCCTTATCTGAAAATTGCTGTTCTGGTAGCTTATATTTATCTATAAATGTCTGCATATGCTTTTGTACCTTCGTTTCAAAATTTTCACCTTTATCATGCTCTACAATTTTTATCATATCCTTATATGAAGCTCTGAAAAGGAAAATAACAAAGGAATTACAATTATTTCACCAATACTGTAAATCGCTCTTGGCTTATTGTTTGTTTCACGTATATTTTTCTAAATAATATTTATTAAATAAGAAGTTCCAGTTTTATTGATAATCTGTTATTGCTCTTATTTTTATTTATGTTGCTGTTAAACTCATCATAGATACCAAGCATAAAATTGTGTCTGTCAGACGCGCGTTTCGTCAATAAAAGTCTCATCACTGACGATGGAATAAAAAAAGTAAAAATGTCAAGTAAAGTACGAAGTTGAAGAGCATGTGAATTGAACAATTACCAATATCAATAATGTATGAAATATATTGTAAAGGTTAGTTATAAACAGTGTTTCTTTCGTGGATATTTGCTAGTGCACGAGAGACAAGATTTAGAAGGTTCCGAATTGATATAAGTAGATGACTTTGCGAAAATCATATGTGATACTTTTTTTAAGTATGTCTTCCTTGATTTTAAATGTTCTTTGGATATTTAAAAAGAAATCCTTGTTTCCATATATCTCATTTTCGAAGAAAAAAATATCAATTCGCCATACATTTTGTAATAATATAAAACAACGTACGTCTGTTAGCGAAAAATTGATTGGCGGTAAAATACGACTATCCCATTCTTCATGCTTTGTAAAGCAAATTAATGTGAAAAATCACACCAGGTGAAATGACCAATGAATTCTGTATGGTGTGTGAATAATTTGAAAAACATTTACCGAAAATTGATGTACGGCTTTTTATCAGGAGTACCGTCTTTGATTTCCTTCCCATCCGCATCTTTCAGTACCTCTCGAAAGTCGGTTAACAATCTAGACAGCATACTGTTAGCGTTTGCAATAACCGAAAAGTCAAACAGATCTTGCAAGCGTTCCGATTCACCCTTTATAGTTTCTAAATGGCAACTGAGAATATAAAATATATTTTTATTAATCACAAATATCAACCAGATCATTAAAAAAAGCACATGCTAATTTTGTAATATGTAATGGCGATTCTGCAAATTGCCTTTTCAAGCAGAAATGCGTTATTGTTCCAGAATTAATGAATAGTGCAGTCTCGTTTAGCTTTGAAACGAGACAAAATATGTGATCCATAATGACATATTATCTAGCCAATTTCAATATTTTTATCTTTTATAAAATAATGATCTAGAAAAAATAACCTTTGACCTGTAGACAAATTTCTTACGTTAATTCTGATGCATCATCCATTGAAGCCAATACTGCAGCTAGCTGGTCGTATATACAGTCTAGAGTTACTAAGATATTCTCCTGACTCTCCAGCGTGGACCTCATGGCTTCATTCAACTGTTCCTGGTACCTTGAGAGTTGGGATTCAATCTGTTAATGTATAGAATTGGCTTATCGATTCTGTTTGAGATTACTTGGGTTTTTTTCTAAGATGTTCGGGAATTTCAGGAATGCAAATTATGTCAGATAATTTTTTTGTGGAAAACACATATGTAAAATCATTAAATATAACCAGTACCTTCCGAAGAATATGAAATCAATCCAACATCATTTAACACGAAATTAAATTAAGGAACTTCAGTAAGTATTCTCACATCCCTTTTCACTGATGTCATTTAAATTTTTTTTTCTGAGAATCGAACTTATCTTTGGAACAGCCTATCACTAACTTTGGAAATTAAGTGAAAATTAAAACCATGCTCATGCAATTACACGATATCTGTTATCCGACATTTTGATTATATTGCAAATACGCAAAATGTTTGAAAGTATAGTAATCGAGCTTCATTGACTAAGTGTGAAAGAAAAAGTAAAGATTGACAGTACTACATAGGTTACAATGCGATGAAGACAGAATCAATGACAAAGGATGGGCGGATTTGAAAGATTTAAGAAACAGTAGTGTAACGATGTTCAAATCTCATTTAACAATTAACAGTATACAAATCAAGGTAACAAACCAAAACGGAGGGAATCGCCCCAACTCCAACAGGAGCGAGACTGAGTGTGTCTTTAGGGTTCAAAACGAGTTCGAAGTTCATTGATCCATTAGAAACGATATTGCCCTGTTGTGTTTTATCCCTGTGTATAATAATACAACATGTCAAATGTGTGGTCCTCACAATGAGGGGCCTGATGGGTTATTTTCGTTCATCGTGCTCGGCGCATTTTCGCTATCGTGATCCGTTTTTCTACAGATTTTTTTTTTATATTTTCGTGATCCGTGATCATGGAAATTTATTATCTGTGAATCGTGATTGACAAAAAAATCAACTCGTGAATCGTGATGAGACCCTCCCATCAGGCCCCTCCACAATTTAATTGATGTATACATACCATAACAAAAGCGTCGTAGTTTGACATCTTAGAATTTCTTAACCTGTAATATATATTACAACATTACTTAAAAACAAAAATAGAAACTCAAATTATTTTGAACGATTCACAATACGATTAAAAACAATAATACTACTGATCTACACTGTCTCCATATGTAGATTCATTTCATACGGCGACATTATTAGTATTTGAAGGAATTATGTAATGATAATTTTTTATGTGATTTTTTTATTTGTAAGACCCTCCCTTTAAAACATTATACTATAAAATAAAATATCCTGTTTGCTAATTCCTTTACTCTATGCATGTGCAAGTTTATTTGTAAAAGCAGAAAAATGCAATTGCATCCACAAACTTTAAAACGACCATTGAATGTCTTTGACAATAGAGCGTGTGTTTTGAGCGTCAATTCAAATTTTGTATTCACTGAAAATCACAATACCTGACTGCTTTATTGTACTGGTGCGCAGCTTCACTTGCAAGACATCGAGAACTTTCAAATAATAACATGAACCCGTAACATTCCGTGTGGTGATTATGTATGGCAAGCTGTATAGGACATAATCCTTCTGAATTCTTGGACCAAACATCATATCCATTATCCAACAAGATCTGAAAAGTAAAATATATTTTTGAATGCCTTACGCGATTCTATGCCAGGGTTAATGTTAAAATTGCGATTCGGTCACAGTGCTTAAAATCCCTCGATCCTTTATGGGTTGATTTGGCATAAATAAATAAAATACGAAAATAAATAAGCAATGAACGAGGTTGTTAAATGTGATTTATGCTTTTTTGTGCTTCTTTGTTAAATATTTGTTTGTTTTTGTTGTGATAAGATTGTGACACGGTGTTGACTACTGTACCCCTATTTTGACATTTTGACATTTTGACCTATTATGTCTGTTTGTTTTATTCACGCATCGTTGTCATTATAATGGAATTTGATGCGACTGTCATACAAGTGAGAGGTTTAGCTCTATAAAACCAGGTTCAATCCACCATTTTCTACATAAGAAAATGCCTGTACCAAGTCAGGAATATGACAGTTGTTGTCCATTCGTTTGATGTGTTTGTGCTTTTGATCAGTTTGTCATTTGATTAGGGACTTTCCGTTTTAAATTTTCCTCGGAGTTCAGAATTTTTGTGATTTAACTTCTTATACACTGATGAATATTTGTATAACAGTCGTTAAATTGATAACGGTGTTACCGGAAGTGAGTTTTTACAATACCTTGGTCGATGTCACAGCTCGAAGACGTTTGTCCTCGAGGGTATCACCAGCCTAGTAGTCAGAATTTTTGTGTTGACGTGAAATATCATAAGTTAATATTTCCTGCAAATTTACTGTTGATAAAATGTGGAATATTTCGACACACTAAGAGTTTTCTATCCCGTAGCTTGCATTGGGACAAATAAAATATTCAGAACTTGCGGCTTTAATGCTCTTCAACTTCGTATTTGAGTTGGCCCTTCCAATATTTATTCAAGCGCCACATATGAGTCGTATGTAGACGAAACGCGCATCTGGCGTTCCAAGTTTTCAGCCTAGTATCTTTGGTGACTGTTTACCGAGATTCATTAATTATCTTCCTATTTGAGCGGCCATTGACTGTTGAACAAAGAGGTAAACACACAACTTGCTTCGATTTTGTTGTTGTTGTTTATCTTCCTATTTGAGCTGCCATTGACTGTTGAACAAAGAGGTGAACACACAACTTGCTTCGATTTTGTTGTTGTTGTTTACTATCATAATCACTTACTTAAATTATGCTGCAATATTTACCTATTCCCTTATTTTTATTTACGTCTTTTTTGAATTTATCACTTGTATTAGAGTCGTGTTTCTATGATGACTGTTTATATGTTTTTGTGATATGCTCACTTTGCCATCACTGGATACCTTTTAAAATGACGAAATGTAAGTAAAAACCCAATTAATACCTGTAAACACCGGAGATGACCTTTACTGGTAGCTTCGTGAGCAGCCGTATTACCAAGACTGTCTGGAGGTAGTTCCAGGGGATTGCCCTCTCCTTTAGGTAGTAAATTCAGCAAAGATTCCAAACATTCCGACTAAAGATAAAAAAAAAAGAATAGTACCTGTAAAATCGGCGTTTAATTGAAGAAAAAAACAACAAAATGAACAAAATAATGTTTGGAGACCTACACACTACCTTTTAGCAAATCAGAGGTTCGATGTTAAGAAAATGTCTTAGTGAAATTTCATATTTTTTTAATATCAAACATTGCAGTGCCATCTGGAGAAATAAAGTATCATGGACTTCGGACTCGCATAGATTCTAAAAAATCCGACTATTAAAGGGCAAAAGAAAAGAATACTACTTGTTTATATAATTAGGTATTAACTGAACAATACTTTAGGAAATCAGAGGTCAGCTGTTAAAAAAGTATTTATAGTTTGAAGGTTCGGGACTTTGTAACTTCAAAATTACAGGTACACCTGTGGAAATAAAGGTCAACGACCTGGGCCCTGCATGAATTCAACAGGAGGCATTGGATTTAACATCCCTATTCCGACTAGACGAGTCTGCGTATTTATACATTCCGCAATGGCAAACGGACAACCCTCTTTAGAATGGATATTACTGTTGGATAAGGAGAAGTCCAGGGATGACAATATGAATATACCCCAGTCAAACTGTGAGGTTGAGTATGTAATCCGCCATCAGATTTGCAATGTCCTAAGACTTCAACACTGTATTTGATTTAGCCTCCCAACTGCTTTAATTCGAACACCACTGATGATTCTTGGGTAGACGAAACGCGCGTCTGGTATACCATATTATAAGCCTGTAATTGAGGACCGTATGTTGACTCTTAAATGTCTTTTTTTTTTGTGCCGAGGAGTTTCCACCTCATTGATGTGTACACATCCATTAACCATGTGATATACAAATTATATATGACTGTGTTATACCTGATCATACTGAGCTGCCATATTAAGTAGTCGGGGCACTGTTAGAGATTCAAGTACTCCGTCCGAACGAGATTTTTCAAGTAAAATCAGCATACAATCACATTTGCCAAGCTGCAAGATAAAGCATAAAACATTTAAAAAACTTTCTTTCGCTGGTCAATTGTATTGATGCAAAGTATCGAAGTTTTAAAAAGTTAGCTTTCGAAATACTAATTGCTCATGTGACGCAGCTTAATTCAGCAGACTTTTCCTTGAATTGCTAATTGTATCCATAGTTATATATATAGATTTCAATAACTAATACAATTCATGTTTTTTTATCTGATCCGATGCAGACAATATTGGTTGTCATTCACAAATTTGCATGGGTATATACTATGCGTTTTTGTTTTTGTTCTTAATTTTGCTTCTAACGGATCTAGGCTATTCTATTACTAAATATTTTACAAATAATCCAAATAATACTGTCAAAAAATTTAAGAATATTTACCACGTTTCCCTTAATTTTGAGTGAAGAGGTAATATAGGATTTTTAATTTATACATTATCTATATATTTGTATTAAAACACGTTTGTTGAACCGTCCAAAATTTGCAATTTGTCCTGCAACGTGTTCTTAGGGAACACTGTTTTACTGGAATATTTCTATGACGAAAATCTCTCGTATCAGTTTAATGAATAAATGATATATACCTTCACTGAGTATTCTAATGGAGACAACCGGTCGTTGTTTAGTTCTGAACACATCTGAGGATATTTAGTAGACAATGTTTTAGTTGAGGTAGTTTTATCTTCCTTGACACATCTGTGTAGTACCGTGTCACCCATTCGGTCCCTTGTTTTTCTCAAAGAATCATATGACATACCGTTTAAAGTGGACGCCTTTATGAAGAACAAAACACAATAATATATTGCATACTAAATAAAAATGTTGAGGAACATTTGACATTTATATTTGTAATTCTACCCTTAAAGTAGCACCAAAACAGTCGAAAAATAATTAGGTATGACAGAAAATTGACATTCTGTATTTCTCTATCTCTTTTTAAACCATATGATAACTCTCATAGTGTGGGAAATTATTTTTTTTTCATTTTTTTTACTTAGTATATTGAAATTGATGAAACAATGGGACCCGACTGTAAACATTGTTAAATTTCAGATGACATTAACTTAATGAGAGAAAAACGAAATATTCAATTTGAAATCAAAGCTACGTAGCGGTACTATGAAGTTAAATGTTGAGGTTGTGCGGTATACAAATATACCAAGTGAAAACAGATTATGTACTTGTTGTAATATGAAAAGTGTTGCAGATGAGAACCATTTTACTTTAATGTGTCATGTGTATAGATTTGTAAGGCTGCAGTTTTTACCAAAATATTATAATTGTTCGTGGCCAAATATGACAAAACTAAGGTATTTGTATCAAACAAAATCTAGATCATTAGTTGGAAAATTTTGTAATTATTTGAAATCTGCTTGGCAGATAAGATCACATCTAATTAGTTGATTTTCGTCTATTGTACTATCTTAGAATATTGTTCTCTGCTGTTTATTGTGTTTCACAATGTAAATATGTTTGTGTTGCTATAGCGTGTAACTACTGCTTTGCAAATAAAGAATATGAATGTCTTGATTGTAACAAAATTAAAAATCCTTCTCCATGTTAAATTTTTAATAAAAATATCATAATTACCAAATCAGCATCGCTCTTTGACAACAGTTCATCAATAAGTGTTTCCGACTTTTTTGGTGTCCTTCTTGAAGTACCCGTAGACGAAGCAGTCGAGTGTTTTCTCCTCGGCATAGAATTTTCTGATCGGCTGGAATCGGATGGAACCGGAGGTAGACGCCGAGAAGAACTACTGTCACGTGACCGATTACCAACACTGGTCCTACGACTAACATTATCACTTTCTTTAATTATGCTGCCATTTTTAACTATTCCCTGATTTTTATTTGAGTCTTTTTTTGGTGATTTCTCACTTATAGTAGAGTCTGGTTTCCCTGTAGGCTGTTTATATGTATTTGTAATATGCTCACAAGCATCGATTATTGCTCCTGTAATGTCACCGTTTTCTTTTGGATCTGGTTCTTTGATCGGTTTCATATTCTCCTTACCCTTCTGCTTCCGGTTGAAAATATTACCGATCAACTTTGACCTTTTTGAATCACTTGACCTTGAATCCTCATCACTTAGTATCATTTCCTCTTGAGGCGACTTGTGGACAAGTTTCTTTTTCAAGCGGTTCTGTTTTGCAGGTGAATTAGACGATTTCTGAAACTATTAAGAAAATGTTTTGTATTACAATTAACGATTTTTTCAGACCAAAAAAAAAAATAATCTCCGATTGGCTAACAAATTTGCACAGACAAAGGGCTGTCTGAGTGCTAATGGGGATTCTTGAGATTTATTTTATTTTAACTGAATTTATATTTTACAGTATTTATTTTTATTCTATTTGACCATTCCATTCCATTCCATTCTATTCGATTCCACTAATAGTAGACTGAAGAATGGGAGGCAAACTTCTGATCTGTCTGGTAAGGATCTGCTTACCCTTCCGGAGCACCTGAGATCACCCCCAGTTTTTTGTGGAGTTCGTGTTGCTTAGTCTTTAGTTTTCTATGTTGTGTTATCTGTACTATTATTTGTCTGTTTGTCTTTTTATTTTTGGCCATGGCGTTGTCAGTTTGTTTTCGATCTATGAGTTTGACTGTCCCTCTGGTATCTTTCGTCCCTCTTTTCTGAAAGTGACCATCAAAAAACATTTCTCTAGTCTATTAGTCTAGAGTTAGTTAGTTTCTTCTATTTTGTTGTTTTTTGTTTTCAATAATTTCACTTTGGCCAAAAAGTGTGTCGGGGAAGACCCTTCCTACCCGGCTGCTATTCCAGTGAAAACGCGTCCATACCAAAGTAAGTAACACTTAGTTTGCCATTATCAGTCAACTATGTTTGTACATTAAAGGATTTATTGATGAAAAATATTTGGTTGCCACTGTTGACCATCATGACATAACAGCAAATGCAATTTGTTGTATCAAAATATATCATCTTATAAAGATACGTATACATCGTTGTATATTTGTGAAATTAGTAAAAATAGCAAAAAACGTACTATCTGCTAGCCCAGTAGGCAGCACTTCTGTGTTGACATGAATTATCCTTGATATGGTCATAATCATAAATTTACTGTTAACAAAACTTTGAGTTTTTCGAAATACTAAGGATTTTTTACCCAAGGAATAGATTACCCAAGTTGTATTTGACAAAACCTTTCGGAATTTTGGGGCCTAAATACTCTTCAACTTCGTACTTTATTTGGCCTTTTCAACTTGTTTAATTAGAGCGTCACTGGTGAGATTTTTGGTAGACGAAACACGCATATGGCGTACAAAATTTTAATCCTGGTAGCTATGATGAGTTTATACTGAAATAGGATTGACCTGGCTGAAGTAGGTAATATGTTCATTTATTTCGAATAACTTGTTGTATTTTTATTATATTCAGAACATGCTAGGTATGCGCACTCACTAACACATCGAGAAAATGTCTCTAATGTAAGAAAAAAAGATGTGATAATAATTTATTGCCACCTACCGGAAATGAAAATATAGGACTTGAGTCTTCAGAGGCAGCGAAACATTCGGAGATAGCATCATCAATGACAAATTCTCTGACATAGTTATCAAAGTCCTGTTCGTTAACATATTGTGCCGTTAACTCTACCTCAAACAGGTCTTTCTCATTATATCTGTCTCTTAAACTCTGCATTGTAAGGAAATCTGAAAGAATAATAATTGAACAATTAGAGATAAAAGGGATAACAAAAATAACCATACATACTGTAAAGTATAAGATACCAAACCAACCCTCAACACCCGATACCTCTGAGAAAATTGAGGTACAGAAGAATAAAATTGAGAATGGAAATGGGGAATGTGTCAAAGAGACAACAACCCGACCATAGAGCAGACAACAGCCGAAAGCCACCAAAAGACAAACAACAACCAACAACACGTGGTGTTGGTACATGTAGCTTGATATGACGTGGTTGGGGTTCTTCTTCTTCTTTCGTATTTCCCTCCTGTTTAGGAACACTCGGATGAGACCGATAAATTATATTAAAAGTATCTGTACATATTAAAACACATTAAATCCTTTGTAAAATATGAATGAAAATTATCCTCCACCATAATATCCAGTGTATATACAGCAAGTCGTGAGTTTATATATATGGTTTATACATATGGAATGATGGCATTTTTTGTTTTAGATACTGACTTTATTATCAAAAATATCAAGCAGCCCGCTAAAGCGAGCTGATGAATTCAGTATCAAAAAATAATGCCATGCCATTATTTTTTTATCAGCAATTTGTCTTAACAATATTTTTTTTTCTTTAGAATATAAAATAGCACGAAATAGAAAATCCAATACTTTTTAAGCGTACAAAATGTTGCGATAGTTGTTCGGTTGTTTGAATTAAGTATGAATGAAGTCGAACGCATTTCATTTCATTAATAAATTGACGTGGATAGGTATGAATGGATAACTTTGCTGCATTGTTACGTGAAAACATTGCCTAATATTTTTGATGATCTATCAAAATAGAAGACAGTATGATCAAAGGAAACTAAACATTAACTGTACCAATTTTTCTGCACCAAATGCGCATTTCGACAATAAATGTCTCTTCAGTGAGACTATTTGAAAATCTTGTACAAATTGCCGATAGACAATTCTTTGTTAAACGAATCCTCCTCTTTGCCTGTTTAGACATATGTCGTAGAAATAGAACACGCAATAAATTATACTGCACAGTTCAGCTACCAACAGGATAAAACTACTTATTTTGCTAGCTGCAATGACATTTGAAATACTAGGTATCAATATTAACGGTTGCAGTCCTACGAAAATGTACGTTTTATTGATGATCACGCTATTAAAGGGTAAATTTAGGAGCCAAACAAGTCAAGACATATAAGACTGATTTGAACATTTTAAATAGACTTAGTGGCTAATTCAAATTTTTAAGGATTGAGTGATTATTCAAAATTAAATTCGTCTGCCGACGGTGCTTTACTTCTCAATTACATGTAACAATACAAATGTCTGATTAATTAATTATTTTCAGTAATGATACGATGAAAATTACATTGTAACATTTTAAAATATTTAAGGTGATTTTTAAATGTTTTACGGTGTCTTTTACAATTTTCAACTATTTCTCAAAGCTGGTTGGTGATCACTTGCCAACGACACCTTCCACAAGACAGACGTACAGACAAGGGCTATAACAACAACAAAACAAACAAAAACTACTTGGTTGGTTCATGTATGTCATATTTGTTTTTCATAAAATGTTTTATTATCAATGAGGCCGTTAGTTTTCTCAATTGATTTGTTTCATATTTTTCATGTCGGGGCCTTTTATAGCCGACTATGCAGTATGGGTTTTTCTCATTGTTGAAGGCCGTGCGGTTGCCTATAATTGCTTACATCCACTTCGTTTGAACTGTGGTGGATAGTTGTCTCGTTGGCAATCATACCTCATCTCCTTATTTTTATATTGGGTAAAAAGTAGATGGCTACTCCAATATTGCATTCTTCAATGGCATAATATATACCACAATATGTAAATACAATTCATATATGCCAAATAAATAATGACAGCAATAAAATAAAAATAACAAATTTTAATGGTGTCAACTAAATCAAATCAAACGCATTTAATTATGAAATTTCACTATTAAAATTTGTATGTAGTTTAGTTCCATGTCCATACTATTAAAAGTAGATGCAGATAAATTATAAATCTGCTATATTAAGTAATGAATCTACTACGCACAGAAGCCATACAAAGGACCAGGTGCGCTACGGGGAATTTTTTGCATAAAGTTATGCAAATCGTGTGATTTTTTTATTTGAATTTATTGATTGATATGTATAAAGATAAAACTAAAATATAATGAATATTAACCAAGATTTGAAAGGACGAAGGATGGCATGAATCTAACTTTTCTTAAAAAAAAATAAAACAGTTATGACACATATTTGTATAATATATAGATATAAGAAGATGTGGTATGAGTGCCAATGAGACAACTCTCCATCCAAGTCAAAATTTATAAAAGTAAACCATTATAGGTCACAGTACGGTCTTCAACACGGAGCCTTGGCAAGCTAAGTTCACAAAGCAGGCACATAAAAACACTTACCTAACATAACCTCTGGATTGTCTTCTGCTATAGATGGCGCATCGATCAGCGTCTCCATACTTCCAATGTGACTCAGGGAAGATTCAGAGTTATGTAGAGCACTAGAAAAGAAAATAGCATCAAATAAAAATACTAGATCAATCAACACAAGACCAAATCAGGACTGCTTCGTCTTTTATTGAACAGTCATTAGGATAAAGGAAAGGAGATCCTTTACAATACGGTTATTGCATCAAAATGACAGTAAAATGTATTTAATTAATAACAAGTAAAACATTGTCTTATAAATAGTCTTTAAAGTGTTTATTTTCTACCTTATAAAAAAGCATGCATCGACAGGCATTTGGCAGCATTTAAATCGGAGGATATAAACATTTTTGAAGTATTAGTCCTGGCCACATAAATAAGTTCTTTTTTAGTATTTTTGATAGCAATATGATTCTAATGAAAACTTAATCATCTTTCTGGACACGCCTTGGTACATAGGAGGGTGCATTCATATCTCATTAACATTTTTATCATAAATCTTTATGTGATACTTGTCACTGGACGTAAAACAGCCATCAATCTATCAATCATTCTTTTCCGTCGTGTCAGATGAGTCACATAAAATGAAATATGTTATTGTACAAAAAATTGTGCTTTAGCAAATAGGGTTGGAAATGATATTGAAAAATTCGAAATACCTATGATCAGTGCAAGAAAAGAGGTTTGTTTGATTGATTGATGCTTGCTTTACGCCGCATCAGCACAAACGTGCTTTATCGCGACGATACAAGAAGAGGTTTAACAATGAGTCACACAGAACTATAAAATGCAGCCATTGCTGTTTTAAAACCATGTCACGTTGTCAATACCTCATACGTTTAATAATGATTAAATATCATGTATTTCAGTTCTATTTTTGTTTTACATATTGTAATTGATAACCAAAACATTATGGCGTTATAAATGGCGAGACGCAAATATTAATGGGCAAAGAAAACGCGAGTAATAAAGTATGGACTACAGGTGGTCCATTTAGTCTGCTTCACGTATACATATCACATTTCCAGAGCTGATCATTCTTTTGAAAATGTGTTGGGGAGGGTTTAGTTCTTCTAAACTTTTTTTAACATTCAAATTGATTCTTTTACTGACCATATTGCTGTTAAACAATAAAACTTGGTGTACAGCATTCCATCAAGTATCCCTGTTAAATTTACCACTAAATATCCAGGGAGAGTTCTTTTAATCTGCGTTAACCCTTCATATGTTATGTGCATGTTCCTTTTAAGTCATTAAGGTACCTCATGAAGAGGTATTTCGTTTAAACCCTGCCCCAGTGTCCTTTCCAACTTAATTATCTTTGGAATGTAAAGTTAATTTTTATTGAAAGGTAACATTTTTAATCGCAAAACACAGAGCAATATGAGTGCAGTAAGGTAAAGAAATAATCGTTACAGCTTTTGTATTTCGTAACAACCTAGTGGTTTGTATACATTTTTAACTCAACCCCCCTAACGATTTGCTTACACTCTATGTGCTGTACAACCGAATGTTTTAATCGTATTTAAGGTGGTTTTGGTCCCCAAAGGACAGGTGTAACAGCATTAGAATAAATTCTTTATTTTGCATAATTCGAGAGAATAGGAGGTATAAAAAATTACTTTAAATCGCCTATAAAATAAATAATATGAAAAATGTATGCCTGTCTTAGACAGAAATATGTCTGTGGTACATATTTTGTTCTCCTTTTACCTGAGAAACATGCAAGGTTACACCTGTGAACTAGATTTATGTTAAATGTATATTTACAATTATTTTATTGTCACGTGTCAACCCAGGACATCTTTATTACCATAACATACCATAACTGTACAGTTTAATGTCTTTATACTATATATTTGTCGCAAAAGAGTGTCAACCGAAAAAGGGGGAGAGCGGGGATGTGGCTTCAAATTTAAATGTTTGGGTGCCTTGCCCAGGACATCTTTATTATCATAACATACCATAACTGTACAGTTTAATGTCTTTATACAATATATTTGTCGCAAAAGAGTGTCAACCGAAAAAAGAGGGAGAGCGGGGATGTGGCTTCAAATTTGAATGTTTGGGTGCCTTGCCCAGGACATCTTTATTACCATAACATACCATAACTGTACAGTTTGGTGTCTCTATACTATGTATTTGTCGCAAAAGAGTGTCAACCGAAAAAAAGGGAGGCACGGATGTGGCTTCAAATTTGAATGTTAGGGTGCCTTGCCCAGGACATCTTTATTACCATAACATACCATAACTGTACAGTTTGATGTCTCTATACTATATATTTGTTGCAAAAGAGTGTCAACCGAAAAAAAGGAGAGGCACGGATTTGGCTTCAAATTTGAATGTTGGGGTGCCATGCCCAGGACATCTTGATTACCACAACATACCACAACGGTTCAGTTTAATGTTTGTATACTATATATTTGTCGCAAAAGAGTGTGAAACAAAAAAATAGAGGGTTTGAGGGGTTTGTAGGGACTTTCTCGTTAATGTATAATCTTTGAATCAACCAGAGTCTAGTTTCTTTGTGAGTTGTATTAAACAACAATCAAATCATTTCTGACTAGTTGAGCAGGAACTATTTACACTCCCGGGGCTCCTGAGTATACCCGAAATTTCAGTGTTTGTGTCCATCTTTAAGTTTTGTGTAATTATAGTTGTATTTGTCTATTTTATTTGCGCAATTGGATTGATTGTCAGTCTTAAACTTTTGAATTTTTAATGACAATATATTTTTATATAGTATCAAATGATTTTTTTTTGTATAGAATAAATTTTATCTTAAAATGGTTCTGCTACTTTTACCAGTCAGAAAACAAACAAATAGTGGTTTTTACACACTTGCACCGTTATAAACATCTCGACGTACAACACTACTCCAGAAGGTAACACTTAAAAGGCGACTAAATGTTGACCTGTAGATCTTTGTTTTATTGTGTTGTGTGGTAACTGTTCATTGACGTACAAGACTATCCCTATTATTCACACCTAAAAGAAGATTTTGCTAATTAAAGGAAAGCATTCTACTTTTTTTTAAATATAAAAATTAACAATTTTGGCTAAGATTTTTTTATATTGCTAGATTTATTTTCGCAAAGGAAGTCAAATATTGGAAGCTTTACAACTAACGGGTACAAGAAATAAGTTCATTTTTGGTCGATGGAGACGCAGAATTTCTTAGTTAAAAATCAACAATTTAAATTTATTTTATTAGACATTGTTAGACTCTCTACTCTGTGCTGCGTGAGCATCTCTTTATAAAATTTTAAACTTTGTATGATTTAGATTTTGTATGAACATGATACTTAATGTTTTTGTATGTTTGCTTGTCGGATTTGAATGAAATAAATTATACATTGAACTTAAAATTGAAATAATTATTTAATTTACAAATTTGTTTAGATTTGAATAAAAAAAGATATATACATTTACATGTAAGAAAACGTTTGGGCTTGTCTTATTATATTAAATTTCGTTGTATATTTAAATCTATTTATCTAAAATACTTTTAATTGCTTCTGATTTGCTAGAAAGAATAAGCGGTTATTAAATTGTCGATTGGTTAACTTCTTTTTCGAAGGGTGCATGGAATCTGTTATAAATAGCAAAATACCAATGTACGAACTATTATGTAGTATCTTAACTACTAAACTCTGAAATCACGGACAGTGCTGTATTATTCAATTACAAAAAGACCCCCCTACCAAACAAACCAAAACCAAAACCAACCGTGGCCAAAAACATGAAAAAATAATTTATCAAAATTTGTTTACTAAATGCTCACCATATTTCCTCGTTGTGCTTTCCATCCCTCTTAAATTGAAAATTATTTACACTCCATAATGGAGAATATCTTTCCTTTTGATTGAACAAACAAATATACTTCAGAAATCCGCTCATTGTTGAAAATTAAATTCGCTACAATTTGTTTAAATTGGATAATTTCCACACAAAAAGCTGTCAAGTCTCCCGGAAAAATCAAGTTTTGATTACTCCGAATGTATAACAAATCTAATCCATTTTGATATGACTATGATTGTGAGACCCTAACCTCGGGTAGGTACTAGAATACTTCCATGTATATTTTTCACAAGTATGTTTAACATACAAACAGTCAGTTGTCGTACGTGTATACACTTTCGTGTCAAATAAGTCATAAAATTCACATTTTTGATTGATCACAGTTGTAGGTAATTATATATTTTACATATCTCAAATCTCGTTTCATATTTCTATCAAATTTATTCTATTGTATTACGGAAAATCGTTTATTATCATTTCGTACTTAACGGATCATTTTTGTCCCTGTCGCACGAAGTTGAGAAAAAATTAAATGTCCTCGTATACAAAAACCAACATAAATTAAACGACTTGTATTTTACACTTGGCCCTCGGAGATGTATATCAATCTTGACATAGAAATTATCTCTTCAATTATTTCTGTCGAGAATCTTAATCGAATAATTTATCTGTAGAATTCATTGTACATTTTGGTTTAAATTAACTCATTAAATTATTTTCCGAGAGGTAGGCGAGTGCAAGGTTTCAAAAAGTAATTGTTATAAATCAAAAGACACGGCTATATATTCACACATATAATTATCAGATCCAAATTTCTTATAGAAAAAATATTTTAATACGATGAAAATTGATACATCAATATTCCTCAAACAAGTACGGAACTTTATAATTCACACGACGAAAGGCTTATTTTAGTAAACAATTTACAAAAGGTGACAAAGGTCAAAACTGTATCTACTCCGCAGATTATTTATAATTTGTATGCGTTCTTCTCCCTCTCCATGAACTGTGTTGAGAGTTTTCACTCGTTCGTGGAAGTGAAAGTATATGTACTCCGCAAATCATTTATAGCTTTTATGCGTACGGTCCCTCTCCCTGACATGTGTTGAGAGTTTCCACTCGTTAATGAAAATGTTCGTCAAATACTTGTATCGTAAAGCAAACAAATAGTGGTAGTTACACACTCTACCGTTATAAACATCTCACTTGATAAAATAGTGACACTAAAGTATCAATTTCTCTGAGGCTCAAGAGGGTAAATATTTTTAAAACGACTGAATGTTGACCTGTAGATGTATTTTGTTATGTTGTTGTTTGGTTACTGTTTCGTTCGTTACTACTTGTAACTTGACAGTTGTAGCAAAGCGTTCGGTTCTTGGTAGGAATTTAGTTATTGCTCAGATTTAGGTTCGAAAATCATGTATAATGGTTTTAATTTGTAATTATGGGGAAACAGAAATAATAGGAGTATCCCGCCTGTACAATATGTAAAGCTCTAAATCATCCCGAGCATATAAGAGTGATCACATTTTATAAAAAAATTAAAGACCTGCCTTAAATACCCAATTAACCAAACACATTTATATTTATTATACTTCATGTCAAAATGCCAGATTTTGATTGGTTAATACGAGGGAGACAATTTACTCTATCTTATGGTAAATACTCTATTACCCTTCACGGAGACGCTTGATCAAGTGTGCGCTTTATTAAATACGGATGGTTGTTATGTACAAGACGTCATAGTTTATTACTTTGAATTTGAAATTTAATAGACAGTAATAACAGAACATTCAGTATAATAAATTAAATAACACATATCTGAGAGAGTGATATAGCAGATTGCTACCCCTCGAAAAGACATTGTCAACTTTGGCTTCGCCTTAGTTGACAATGTTTTCTCGGGGTAACAATCAGCTCTATCACCCTCTCAGCTATGTGTTATTCATATAATGACATACGACAACTGTTGGCGACTTTCCAAAGTTAAAGCATCTGAAAGTACGACCAGCATAAAGACCCTCAACAGGTATCTTGTAGTAAACATCTTCAATATCTACTTGATCCTCTTGATCCACCTGTACTATTTGTATTATGGTATAATACCGTGCTACTACGTCTTTGTATCGTGTCTTTGTCCAGGGCGATTTGTATAGTATTATGTCAACAATCCGCTCCCGTTAGGATCTGATTAAAAAGTTATCATAATCCTACGGAAGTTTCTATTATAAAGAGATATTTGACATTCTCCTAAACTCCTGGTCAGGTTAAAGGTATCATTTCAGATACCATAATTTGTGGTCAATTTATAAAATAGAAACGAATCATAAATATTGATATAAAATTACGGCAACGCAATCAAAGACTGATTTTAAAGCAGCTATGGTTTTCAAATAGTCGCCTCAAGCACAGTCCTAAGGGGGAACATTTAATGGTATACTGGAGGATGGGGTGTGGTAGTTTTTTCCCCCTGAAAAATTCAATTTCACATCTAGCGAGTCTGGCTTTTATAATTGCGCGAAAATTTATTTTCGATTTTGTACAGCAGTATTTCATATTACAAATATTAGAATTTTCATTTTCATCCCATCTTTGGCACGCTTAATCTTCATTTTAAGTTCTTGGCAGACGAGAATATTCATTTCGAACCCAACCCCGAGCCCCACAACCCCCGAATTTTCCAAGACCATCCCCTAATGTGTAAGTAAAAATAACCTAATGTGTACAAAAGGTTACGCGTTCTTTAACACAAACATAGTGCCACATTCCCTAACCCCGAGCTTTATATTTTAGGTTACCAGTTAGAACAAACTACTCTGGGTACTTTTGGGTAAAATCTTAGTTGAAGTGACGTGAATAATAACTTTTGTAGGTAATCTTTTCTTATCTTTTCCCTTTCAGAAGAATAGTGTTTAAGACTACAATGTTTCTGATCTGTTACTTTTTTTAACCGACCTACTGATTGGTTATAATATGACCGACCTACTGATTGGTTATAAAACGTTCTCTTGTCCTGAATATGGCCAAAATATTGTAAACTTGATTCGAACTTCGGTTGCGACTGTATGCCTCTTCTTGTAAACTGCTCTTTTCCCAAACATTTAATTTTCTTCCGTTTTTTCATAAACGTCACTGATAAAGCGTAGCAAGATAACAATTCGAACACCACAAAAGGCTACAAATGAAACGTGTTCGTTAAACCCACAAGAGCCGACCGCTAAACAAATTTTGAACATATACACATCTTTGTTAGTAAACAAATTATTTAATATGTAAACACATTGCATACGTATGCACATTGTATAACATATAAATCAATTACGCATGGATGGGAGTTTTAAGTTCGTTTCAGTTAAATTCGAACATTTACTTCATCATGTTCGTACAGCTTATATTTGTCAATATCAATACTTATTTCATATTCCAAAACGTAGTTGAAAGCACTTCTTTCAAATGAGGTGAAAAGCATTAACATAATCTATTGTCCACGTGTCATGTTTGATATCGCATATTTTGAAACCTTAGAATTTATTTGTTATAAGTAGGGACGTTTGTAAACATGTTTTTTATTCATCAACAATGAAATATTCGGTTTTGCTCAACGACATTTTCAATATCTCACTCTGATTATTATTTGAAAATGAACTACTGTCTGATTATAACTGCGTTTGGTGTTTACCTGCTTAGGTTTGGCGTAAGATTTTCTGCGTTCTCAAACTTTCATGGCGGTCGAATTTATTGTGGATACTATAGAATATGAATAAAAGGAGATGTGGGTTATACATCCATGAGACAGCAACTTAACGACGAAAAACATAACTGGAGGTTAACAAATAGTTTTTAAAAATAGGCGGGTGTCTATATACAATATGCCAAGCCGTAGAGCACCCCAAGTAAACCACAGACCAATAACAGGAGTTTTCTTTCAAAAAAGAGGGTCTGGATGGGGTCCTTCATTTCTGTATTCTTTAATTTTTCTGAATTCTTCATATTTTTGGCCATAATTCTCTATTCTTTATATTTTAGCACCACGTACATTATTTATTCTCTATTCTTTATATTTTAGCATCACATTATTCTCTATTCTTTATATTTTTTATATTTTAGCACCACAGTATTCTCGATCTATTCTTTATTTATTTCCCCTATTTTTGCCCTTTTCTGCCCTTTTTACCTATTATTCTCTTTTCTGTAAACCCCATCAACACCCTCATACAAGTATATTGTTTGCACCCTTGTCCCTGAAAAACATCCGTAGTGTTTTGTTGTCTTTTCGTAATTTTTCGTGTTTTGCTATCGTGTTTTTGGTTTTACTTCAACTGATGATTTTTGATTGTCCATTTGTTATTGTCTACCTCTTATTTGCAGAACTCGAAACACTTATTGTTTTAATCATAGTTCAATGTTCTGGTATTAATATGATGCATTTTTAGCAACGAAAACAAGTGAACGAAGTAATCCATACTTCAATGGCGCAATGCATTTCAAAAAACCCTCAAACGTCCAACAACCATCGATGAATTGGCTGTATATACGTTTCAATACATCTTGCTGATTAAACTTTTGAAGAGATGAACTTGCGCTTTGCCAGGTTTGATGTGTACACAACTAAACAAATTTCGCGTGAATTTCACGTGAAATTCTGTTAACGGGAACTCACTTCAGGTGATTTCAAATGCCTTTTTTTCATGTGCATTTCACGTCTACGCTATATTCACATGAATTTCACGTCTACGCTATATTCACGTGCATTTCACGTGAACAAAATTTACCTGTATAAATGCAAAGTCACATCAATTAGAACTCTAAGGATTGCTAGGATATTGGAAATAGAATAGAGAATGGAAAGGTGGAATGTTTCAAAAGGGACAACACCCCGACCAAAGACGGCAGAAAACAAAGAAATCATTGGGTCTTCAACGCAATGCAGCGAGAAAATCCTGCACCCGGAGACGGGCTTCAGCTTCCTTTCTTGACTAGCGTCAAGCAGCATAGCAGTGACTTCCTGTCAGGTCCCTTTGAACATAATAAACAATCATTTGCGAATAGAATGGATAAGATACGGCTGAGTCTAGAGAATGCTATGTCATCTTGACGTAAACAACATAAACACGTAAACAATATAACATTAAATGTTGAGGGAAAGATATTTTTACTACCGAGGTCTAGAAGAAGTCATAATTATTTCGCTACGACAACTTATTGATTATAAAGATTATCTAAGGTTACATTTGTGGTTGTAACGTGTGTGAGTTAGTTATGTTTTACACATAATGTCACTGTTAACAATACCTAGGGCACAATAAAAAAAAACCAACCACAAAACAAGGAAAGACTGACAACGTCATGGCCAAACGTAAAACGACAAAAAGACAAACAACATACCACATAAAATATATTTTCGTTACATGATGTATAGATCTCT